CGATTTACTTTTTTGTGTCCCTGCTACTGTTCAGTATACGTGTGTTTATTGTTCTTTTTGTAATTGACCACTGTATTAATTTACATTTAAGAAACATATTATAATTGTTAATTATATACATCGTTATCTGTTTTGTTATAACCATGCTAGCATTGTATGCGACAGTATACGAACTTATTTAAGAAATTCATCTGTGGGTAACCATTTCCTCCTACACAAGACCTATGAGAAAATCCAGTCTGAAAACTGTCTGTGATGCAACTTATTTCTACATTAAACAATCTTCACAAACAATGCATCCTAGTTTTTAAACCACAATGAAGATTGAATGAACGGTAACTTCCAGAACTAGTTTGTGGATTATATATATTCTTATTGTATGATTATTAAGTAACTGTAAATCGCTATATCTATGTATTCCGTTTATCAAAAACTTTCGGTTAATACATAAGCTACTGTCATGAGACTTACTATTCCTACTTTATTCCCGGTGTATTACTTACAGCTTGCTTTATTCACAGACACTTTTTGACTTGTTAATGTGCAACCGTTATTTTTTATTTTACAGTGTGATGCGGCCTGGTCTGTCAATATATGAAGCACATCTGTTTGAAATACAGATATCGTAGATGCTGAGTGCTACTCATGAACTCAAAGGCTAGCTATGGAAAAAAGTTAGCGAATAATGACTCTATAGAAACCTAGCTGTTGGCTCAAGGTCAATAATGCTAGTCGGGTATGTAAGTGGCCAAATCAAAGATATTAATTCATAGAGTAAATAATAAATCAAATTACAATCAGAAGTCTGAATAATAACTGGGAACGTGATATCGGTCTGCCATCACAAGACATAACACTAATGTTGTAACGTGTGTGACTGCAGATTATGCTAAGCAGCGTTATCGATCGGTTCGGTGACAGTGGATACGTTAACACGTATGGACGACCTAGTGCCCTGATTGGCCCTGCTTCCCTGTCTAGCCCCAGCCAGTTGAGTCAAGAACACAAGTCACAGCCTCTGAGTTATGAATCATTGTATTTCAAACATACTTTGTTTATATACCAATCAAGCATACCATATCGTACCATAAAATAGAAAACAACATTTTGTACATATTCAACGAGTGAACAGATACGACCAATAGGAATGTCCATTTGAAGTCCAAGGACACCATTGGACTTAACATCATAATTATTGGTCTATTCCTCCGCATCCACAACAACTAACAATGATAATAATATGCTTTCCGGAAATAATGTCCGGGAAGAATCCTTGAAGATATAGTGAGAAATCATGACCAGCAAGGTCTTGTTAGGTCGGAACAGTGACAGATAATGAATGATCCTCTCTCAGTATCACTAAGGGGTTAAAGTTAGAAGTATGAACTACTCACATTCAATTTGTTAGTCTAAAAGTAAGGTGTTTGACAGAACGGCTTGATCCCAGGTACTATTGTGAGTGGATATTATTAAGAGAATCCAAAAAAATGATGATCAAATAACTCTTCACTCTGCCATAACTTTCCATTGTTGGTTAGGAATCGATCAATAATCAGATGTTGGGTTAATTCAGTATGATAATTATTCAGTACAACATTCGATTGTATTCTAAAAACTCCTTCCATGTATTCACTCAGTTTTGATATCTATTCAGCATGATATTCGTTTAAGTTATCATCATTTAAACTTCATCTCTAGTCGCTGAAAAGTGAGTCTGTATATAAGAGAACAGTATTTGCGCGAAAAAATAATTTCTCCGCAGTCACAGACTAGACTATTTTTGTTTTCTGGTATTCCGCGGCTCGTTAGTAAGAGATTAGGTTTCGGGGGTACCATTATTTTTACATCATCACACTAGATCGAAAGATTTGTTTGTCAGTAAATTTCAGCTAATTGTACACCTCTTTTAGTTAAGTTCAGTAGTAGCTAACAACAGAATTCAGGACTCATGTTTCGACTGGTGAGGCGTTCAAACAAATCATTTGTCGAAATTACTAGAAGACTAGAAAACGTCAGGAAAATTTTCTTTCCGATGGCCATTGTGAATAGAGGCTTCTTAGGAACACCTAGAAAATGAACGACTAAGTTTCATGTCTTTGATTGTAACCTATACGGTTACAATATATTGTATGTTTACAGAAGGTTTTGGAAGTTCAAATCTGTAAAATTACCCCTGATTTTCTGTACATAAACTAACTTTGAAGTAAAGCTTTAACTCAAATTTTGCACCTTCTCTCTTTTGTTAAATTTAATGAACAGAAGTAGTTTAGGGTTATAAGAAGCGTCTAGAAAGTCGATAATAAGCGTCCCAGTAGCAGACTTATCAATAATCCAGTAGAGACTCGTCAGCTGAATTCATCTATATCCTATATAGGGAACATGAATTTTACTTGTAAAAGTTTTAATTTGCTTTTTTATCAATGTCAAGGTTTGCAATTAGTCAGTTTTAGAACTAACTCACAATATCAAGTCAGTCTATTCAGAACGAATGTAGGCTAGTAAAGACTGAATGAATCTAGTCCTTGAAATCAATAAATGAAAAATACATACCTTTAGACGTGAGTGCAACACATCTTTGGAATATTTAGATATGATTACTACAAATATATCCTTTGAAATTGTTATGATCAGATTGTTCTTTGCCTTTTTTTATATTTTCATTCATGGGATAACATGTTTGCCTAAAACTTAATAAACTGTTGATTTCCGGCTAATCTAGTTTCTATAATTTGGGTAACATAAGAGACAAGTTTTGATTTGAAAATGATTAATTAATTGATTGGATCAATACATCGGATTGAGTGATAATTGCTAGTTGGTAGTTTATCAGGCAAAACGCTTGTTTGTATCCTATAAAATGGGAAGTGGGGAGGATTTACTTCACTAGTACTTCCAGTCATCTGATTTGGTTGCAATTCACAAATTTTGTGGCCTAAGATCTGACTTCGATTTGGTCGAACAAAAAGATATGTCATGAACATAAATCTTCCATTCAATTTGTACGTTACACATAGGCTAATGCCCCTTGAGAGACGGCGATTACAAAAGCCCAATATGGATTGAGTCGGATGAATTTGCTTAGACAGATATTGATGAAAAGCAGGAAATTGAAGTGAAACGGAGTTGGCAAACACGGTAACACCCTAATACTACCCATCACAAGCGTTTATATTGACCAGAATAAACAATAATGTGTAGTGAGAAAAGAGATGGGCATCAGGCAAAATAGTAAGTGATAGATATACTTACAAGTACACATGCGAAATGAGTAAAGGGGAAGAATGTATTTGTGTGTATGTGTTTTTATGAGTGCTGATCAGTCGTGAGTAAAGTTGTCGATCGTCTTTGGTCACAGACAATCAATCCGACTATCCGAAATTCAAACATTGTGCAGTCAATCCCGAATCAACTAGACTAGTAGTCACGATGTTAACTGACAGACAGAATTCGATTAGAATTGAAGACTAAATGACATTAGTGACTACCTAATGATCAGTCAATGTCAGTATGTCAGTGACACGAAAGATGTTTTATAATCAGAACGCCGCTGTTTAGCTATCCTTAAGTGTGACTCTGAATGATATTTAAATCCCACCTAAAAGTATCAGTTCCCTTACAATTCTAAATACTCCTTATTTAATGGGTGTCGAGTGTTACCACTTAAACTTTTTATATGACGTAATTAATCAGTTTCTGCAATTATGCAGACCACTAATAAAGAGTGCTAGCTAACAGCTAATAAGCTCGAAGACAATTGCTTTAACCAATGACAGAAATGACTGTGAACAACAAACGAGAACCCGAACTCCTATTGATTCACACAACTTCTCCTATTCCCAATGACCGATTGGAACACAAGTCAGTAAGCAGATTTAAAAACCCACAGGTTTATGTACATTATTAACAATATGCATGTAACTAGGTTATAGGTAATACAAAACAGAGCAATATGTGCATAACTAATTAATGACGCATCGCACATAAATTTTCTTATGAAAGTTTTACAATTGATTGATCACTGGGTGGTGATCAATGTTATGTATTTCAGGTCCTTCTTAGCGCAGATCGAATCCTATCGACCAATTTGAAATGTGGCCACTAGTCTAGGTGACTCAACATTATATGCACTATGTTGAGATAAGATGGTAGTTGGAGGTAGCCAACAGGACAAGATTCGATCTGCGTTAGGAAGGACTTGACATACATAACATTTATCACCATCCAGTGATCAGTCAATTGTAATTACATCTCACTCCTACAGGAGGTCAGTTGCAGCTTGGGTAGCTCAGTGGTACCGTCTCTGATTGTGGAACTGCATGAGATGGGATCGAATTCGTCAGGGAACATCACTTCCCTCAAGATTCCAGGTACACCTTGCTGACGAGTGCTAAATAGCACGAAACCTAGGTCCAGGGTTTCCTGTTGACTACCTCCAACAATCAGCTTATTCTTATAAAAAAAAGTGTTGTTTTTTGTTGTTGTTCAAATCCACTCTTCATTTTCTCTAATGTAACCTAAATACATGTTTTCATTGAATTATTTCTCATCAAGATAATAAGTTATGACAACTTAGTGTAATATGTATATTGAATGTAATACTACCGAAAGCAATTTCGGTCAATTTCATTATCTTAGACCTATAAACTTGGAGTTTTTTTTAATCAATTGTCTTTTAATAATTCATACATACTATAGTAAAAGTGTTATCTCTACTCTACTCTACTTTACTCTTTAATCGGCTAAAATGTTGTTAATATGTATACAACCTAATTCTTCTCAGCTTACATATATAAAATAATCATCTTTTTTTTGTTCCTCTTCATAAAAATATTACTGAGGTTAGAAAATCCCTTAAAGATTCTTGTACAGACATACAAATGTATGGGATTAGAGACATGTGTAACTTCTGATAGGTAATAAATAGTGTGACAGACAGTTATATGTGTATGTATATATACATATTGGGCAAATCAATTTTTTCAACTTAAAATGAACATAACCAACTTTTATTTTGATTCAACATTATCGAATTGGATTTAAGGAGAACAAATTGGGAAAAAATTACTTTCCTCTATTGTGGATTTATATCATTTCAAATGTAATTAACATATATATGATTAATAAATTTTGTGGAATAATCAACTGTACAAATTAACCTACACTACTATAAAATACTATACTATTACTATACTATACTATACCACAGAAACAATTTGTTTGTTAAAGGTGAGTATATTTAAAAGATTATGTTTATATCAACAAGACAAAGATGATACAAAAATGATTGTGAATTGAAAAGGTTTGCATAGTGTTGTTGTTGTGGATGTTAAAGCAATCAATATATTATAGGTATCATTACCAAGGTTACATTTGATAAATTTCGAATAAATTGAACATTGGGTTAATTGTTATAAATAAATAATATATTTGTAATATCGCAATGAGTAGAAGAATTAGATCTTCTGACGTTTCGTGACTTAGTGTAAGCCACTTACTTCATCAGAGAATAAATAACCAAATTAAAATTAGTACACCGGAACAACAAGAATGATATATATATATATATATATATATATATATATATATATATATATATATATATATATATGGTTATCTATTCTCTGAAGAAATGGCTTACTCTAAGTCACGAAACGTCAGAAAATCTAAATCAATAAATTAGTTACAATTCCTGGTTTGAATTATTTTTTCTGGTTAGCGATTTTTTTCTAGCGAGTTAGTTTTCTACGGGATGGGATTAACTAACCTCATGCCCAACCTTCCTCCTTTATCCGGGCTTAGGAACAGTAGTAATCCTAGAGGGACTCCAGCGTGGAGTTTATAATCATTGAACATTACTTTACTTAGAAACTTTTGACTAAATGACAATATTTAAACAATCTACTTTAGATGCATATATATATGTATAACAGATTGATCAAACCTTTTCAAATAGAATCAAATCTGATGAACAAATTAGTAACTATCTGAATTTAGTAGATTAATAAAGCGTTCAAAGTGGAAAGATCTGGGTTTAAATTTTTATGAGAAAATCAACATGATGATGTAGGTGTATATCATCTAATAACGAGTCCTAAATAGAGTGAATTAAGTGTCTGCTTTCATTTACAATTCAATTTTACTCAAACAATAGTCACTTTAAAAGTATTTTTGGCGAGACTCTTATTTATGGACGAGCCAATCAGAGGTGTTTTAGAAATTTCAAGGTTACAGCGCCAACCTCAGTGCTTAATGCTAACTTACGTTCGGTTCACAAGGAATTTTGTACAAAACGTGATAATTGAGCGGCTATAAGAAATGAAACGGCGAGACTATAATTTGTGGACGAATCGATCAGGAATAAGATAATAGATCTCGGATTTTAACGCGAAAGCCTTTCATCCATTTGGCTAAATAAATTTCTGGCATTATAGCTGGTGTCAGTTCGTGATGAAAATCCCATATATAATTCCTAACTAAGCCAAATTACGACAATTATCGCGAACTGGATAATAAAAGCACCAGTAACACTGGTTGCAGCCAGGTACTACAATATGTACGGATGATTGGAAAGCATACAGACTCCTACATAGGCTTGGTTATGTCCATCGTGTTGTTATCCACAAGTAGCATTTTGTGCACTCATCAAACGGAGTGCACATAAACAATATTGAAGCTATGTGGTCGAGGCTGAAAGAGCTTTTTAAGACTTTGTCATGGCTCCAGAGGCCCACTGTTCTGTAGACATATGAATGACTTCCTCTACTGCATGTATTATGATTTTAGGACCTCTGAACCTCTTTCTAACCTTGACAAGTTTTGAACCACGTATAAGAATTGCACCTACTTTATTTCCTTGGTTTTGTGTAACACATTTTTACTCTATACTGACTGTGTGCTGCTTGTCTAATATTTCTCAAGGTCACTTAAGATTCGTTCAAAGGTCGCCCATAAATTAGAGTCGCGCCGTATTTTTTTATTATTAACTGAGTTGGATATTATTTTCGACCGCTGTGGAATTTCTTAACTGTGTTTATCTAGTCTACTTTTAAATTTATCATTTAGATAAACAGGTTCAATTTTCAATATCACCATAATTCACAAATACTTTACATTAAAATACAAAGTAGGATTTCGTTTATTTGTTATTTTTAAACATGCAACCTCCTTATCTTAATGATGTTGAACAGCAGTTTGAGTTAATAATAATAGTAATAATAATAATAATAATAATAATTTGTAACAATAATAATCATGTCCATAACTAACCAATCAGATCGTTGTTTAAGCGCCCGAAACGTCAGTCTGGTCTGATATGTTTGTAGATTATCCCTGTTACATGTGACCTGTCACGTGAGAGAGATTATTATCCAATCATATTAGTGTGACTTATAATTTTTATACATTTCGATAAGACATGTAATGCTAGTCGGTATGTTTGTGCGTTCCACTTAATGACTATAATTCCTTTATAAGTAAAGATGGATAGTATCTGGTAGTGGAATCCAAGATGCGCGTCTCGTCCTATTTGGGAGTCGTCAGCTGAATGTACTTGCATCTCGGAGTTGGTGTTCACTCTGAAGTTTGAAACCAGTACCGTTCGTCCCACATGCCATAGCATTATCCACTCAGCTACTGAGTCCTGTGTCCGAGGCCCAGGGTAAACATCAATTCTGTGATGAGTGTATATCCAACTGACGAGTCCCAAATAGGACGAAATGCGCGTCCTGCATTTCACCACTAGCCACTGTCCATCTTTGCTTATAATGCTTGTGAATTAAGGTAATATCGAGGCAATACATGTAGTATGCACATATGTCAATAAGAGACTGATCAATTGCAGTCCTAAACATCAATGGGAAGATTCAAGTAAACAATACCAAGTGGATTTATAATTCCCTTAATTATTGTGCCAGTTAAATTGATATACTTATGTTTAGAAACATAAAGTGTGAACATCAACATTATGACGTAAATAAATCCAGCTGACAAGTCCGTATTAATCATTCGAAATGGGTTTCCGTGATTCCACTGCTAGCCACAATTCTCCCATTATATATAACTTGCAGCATAAGATCTATATCAAGGTAGTTTATACTGGATGCACACATACAACAATTTCAGTATATAAACTTAACAACTAAACAACTCAAACCCTTTCTAATAATAATAATAATTTAAATAACAGTCAGTTACTCCATGCTATTGGGCAAGAATTGACTTGTTTAATGCAAGACAAAGATACATCATGAATTAAAAATGTGGTTTGATTTTCTAAAGGAATATATCTATAATAATAAATGATTTAATGTATCTGTTTCGATTCAGATTAACCAAATTAACTTTCATTTAAGTAATTTAAACCCATTATGTAATTATGATTTTAAATATCACAGGTCGTAAGCAGCTGACAAGAACCTACAAAAGAAAATGAATTCATGCTATTCTGTTAGAATGTTTGTTCTAGCTTTTTCAAGAGCTTTCTACTCAGTTTTGGTTTTCTCACTGAGATAGCTGATTGGAACCGGGCATAGGAACAAGAGAACAAGAAACAATATTGTTTTGAATCAGATCTTTATCAGACACTAATATATTGTACTATTTTGTATGGTTATGTAACAAAATATTAAACCAATTTAGTCAGTTTACGGGTCATTGATAACAATATAAATAGATTATATAACTAATCACAATAAATGAAAATTACAGACTGACAATAAGGTGATGTTCTGTTGTTCACTGTCTGATTTTCTTACCGATATCCAGTCTTCCTATACACAATCCCAACTCTCTACTCGCATGAAAAGACTGAGAGTGAGAAGTGAATCGAATCGGGAATATACGTGAATCAGTTTATGGGTTCATTTCTTAGGAATGCAAACCATTTCTTGGCCAATCACCTGCGTTTGTCATTAACCCGATTTCTGACTGGTCCAATATATCAGAAAAGAGATATATTAATAAATATAGTAGTAACGTACATCATGATGACATAACCATGTTAATATGAGCAGTATGTCAAAGCTTGCAGAAATAAACTTACTAAAATAATAATGATTAAAAATTACGTAATATGAAGTGTGAACAGTTAGTTTTCAGTATGCAGATGGTAAAGAAGAGAAAAAACAGACAAACAAATGGTAGGGCGAATTAGTAATATCCGTTGTTAGATTTTCTCTGAGCAAGAAAGTGACAAAGAGATATTGCAAATTAAGCTTTGAACACACAGACTAGAGTTGCCAACTCCAAATCTTTGTAGCTTCTTTATATGTAAGAGATGAAAAAAGCTTATTTGGAGAATTCGAAGATGCTTGATAAATCATTGCAGACGTTCTGATTACATCTATCATACAACTACTATCGATCAAATGTGACTGAATGGAGATTTTCTATAACCCTTTTGAAACCATAGGAAGAAGTATTTCTTGAATTATTATATATTCTTATATTTACTACTATGTCTGTCACACCACCTTACCTACAATTTGTAGTTTGCAATTAGTTCTGTAATCCTTTAGCATTTTTGTCATCATCTCAAAAATTGTGTTAATTAATTCAATATATTTTTCCTTATTCATACAAAGTATTACCTGTGTATTAGAGTACTACTTGTTTGTAAACGATTGAATTTACTCTTTGTTGATGTTAAGGTCTTCAATTAATCAGTCGATTTTGATAAATATGCATTCTGGGTAGATTATCATGATATGGCTGTTAAGTAACGAGTATTATAAATACTTTTTGGGTGGTAGTTAGCAATGGAATCGAGGACGCATATTTCATCCTGTTTGATACTTGTCAACTGGATGTATTTACACTAAATTTCCCAAAACAGAGTAGAGTCTTTAACATCAATAACAGGAAGATTGAAAAATATTACAAGTGAAATAAAATTCATTCGCGTCATACAAACCAGTGTTTATATGAACCTAATAACCTAACTGATAAGGCTTTAGTTGTTTAAAGTGAAAGTTACAGCATTCGAATTCCGATGTGAATATGAACACTGAGATGTAATAGGTACATCCAACTAATGAGTTCCTAATATGATATGACGCACCACTTGGATTATATTGCTGGCCCATACTTACTTACTTTACTTACTTACGCCTGTTACTCCCAATGGAGCATAGGCTGCCGACCAGTATTCTCCAATCCACTCTGTCTTGGGCCTTCCTTTCCAGTTCTATCCAATTTTTGTTCGTTTTTCTCATATCTGTCTCCATTTC